TGAGACACCACAGCATCTCTCAGCCCTCCCCACCCTGCCCCAGGGGCTCTCCTAGACCCGAAGTATGAGAGGCCACCCATTTATCATTGGGAGAATCTCCCAGCCTACCCCCTACCCCTAGCTCAGCCTCCAAGAGCCACCACTAACCATCTGGAACTACAAATCTGACCCTCACAGACAGGAAACACCCCTGGCCCAGTCTCAGCCAGGCACTCACCCGCCATTGATACTACTCCCAGGATGCCTCCTCTCTGCTAGGGAGGCAATAAAATCCGGTGCTGGGGCCACACCTGTGTGTCTCTCTAATGGGGTGATGGGAGCCTTGGGGAGGAATTGGGTGGGGGTTATGACGGGGAGAAGAACATGTTGGGAGTTGGGGGGACTGTGGGCTGAAGGAGGGGACAAAGTATTTGAAGAGGGGTCTCTGGGTGTTGACAGGATTTGAGGGCATTCCTGGGGATGAAAAATGAAACTGGCAGCTCAGACCCAGCAGTGAACAAGCCAGACAGAAAGCTCTGCCTTCTGGATAGCAAGTGATGGCACTGCTCTGTTAATTGAGTGGCTGGGAAAGGCCTCACTGGTAAATGGAGTGAGAGAGTGAGCCCTGGGGAGATCTGGCTGGAGAGTAGTCCAGGCAGAGGGAACAGCAAGTGCAAAGGCCCTGAGGCAGGGGTGGGCCTGGTGTGTGTGAGGATCAGCAATGGGGCCAGTCTGGCTGTAGTGGAAGAATGAGGAGGCGAGGGTGGGAGTGAGGCAGATAGGGAACGGGATCAGATCATACAGGGCCTTGTGGGCAGGTCATCATGGTCCCAGTTTGATGGAATAAGATAAAGGGAGGCAGAGACCCAGACAGACAGGGTCTCTGAATTTACTCTCAGTGAACCTGGAGTCCCTGGAGGGTCCTGAGAGGATAAAAGTGAGCTGACTCCGGTTACAAGTCTCTGCTGCTGAGTGGGGTTAGGGGTGGAAGGATAGGATGAGACAGGCATTTATTCCTTCTGCAGCCCCCTGAGACCTGCTGATTAAATTCTCCTCTAGAGTTGAATATGCTTTAGTTTGTCCCAGTAATTCCACACCTGGTAGCTCCTGAATGAAACTGTAAGAATAAAGTCACTGGGCCGGCCAAGTGGCTCAGCTGGTTAAGAGCTCGCTTGGGAGTGCCAGCTCTGAGCAGCAGGGCTGCAGCTCGGATCCCACATTGAGGGCCAGTGATGCTGGCCCTCTACAGCTAAGATGATGAACAACAGCTGGACCTGGAGCTGGGCTGCTGTGAGTCACCAGCGATGGCGTAGGCTGCAGCAGGGCTGCAGTGGGCTGCCGTGAGCTACATGAGTGGCTGGCAGCCAGCGTGAGCGGCCGGCAGCTGATGTGAGCTGCTGGGAGCCGCTGGGAGCAGCCAACCAATGACCAAAGACCGATCTGCCTCATCCGGGAAGAGCACAATGATCATACCAACATGGGCCAGTGAAGCGAAGTCCTCCACAACTAGACTGAAGAACAAAAACAGCAATTTGTCTACCTGTCTGTTCCCCTTCCCTGATTCCCCAATGCTATTCCCCTCCCCCCAATTCCCCAATAAAATCTTAAAAATAAATAAATAAATAAAGTCACCAAAATAAGATTCGTAGAAGCTTTAATCATAATAGCCCTAAACTGGAAACAACCCACATGCTCCTCCACAGAAGGTGTGTGTGGTGGGGCCTTAACCCAGGGGAAGCCACAGCAAGGAGTAGGGGTGACTTCAAGGGCCCCCAGTGGCATGGAGGAATGTTACAAATGTTATGCTGAGCAAAAGAAGCTGGATACAAGCACACATCACTTGATTCCATTTATAGGAAATTAAAGAACAGGCAAAACTAACCTAGGGATTAGAAGTCCAGCTGGTGCTCTCCCTTAGTGAGGAGGATTGGAATGGATTTGAGGTGGGTTCCGGGGGGCTGAGCTTGAGCTAGGTACTGCCTCCCAGGAACTGTTCAGCCTGTAAAAATTCACCCAGCTGTCCATGCATGATGTGCCCACTTTTATGCATGACGAACTTCAAAGTTTTTGTTTTTTCAAAAAAATCCCTGATATTTAAGGCAGTGAAACTATTCTGTATGATCCTGTAATGGTGGATAGATGTCATTATATATTTGTCAAAAGCCATAGAATGTATGACACAGAGTGAACCCTAATATATCTATGCACTTTACTTAATAATAATGTATCAATATCAGTGTACCAATTATAACAAACTACCACACTGATGCAAGATGTTAATAACAGGGGAAACTGGGAGCAGGTAAGGGGATATATGTAGGAACTCTCTCTACTTTCCTTTCTGTAAACCGAAAACTGCTCTTAAAAATGAAGCCCACTCAAAAAATCATGAGCAACTAAAATAGACAAAAGAAATCCCCTTTATAGGTCAAGTCATAGGTTCCCCCATATATAATGATTTTTGTTTTCCTTCTTCTGGGAAAGAGATGGAAATAACATAGGGTGAGACTGTAAATAGTATCAGTCTATAGTATAGACCAACGTGGGGAGAACCGACATCTTAACAATATTGTCTTCCAGTCCATGAACATAGTATATCTCCCCATTGGTTTAAGTGTTGACATTCTCTCAGCAATGTTTTGTCATTTTCAAAGTAAAGTTCTTTTATCTTTTGCTAAATTTATCTCTAAGTGTTTTTATGCTGTTGTAAATAAAATTGTTTTTTAATTTCATGTTCTAATTTCTTGCTTCTAGAATATAAAAATACAATTCTTTTGGTTGGATTCACTGTGATCTCTGTAAACTCTGTCCTGTGAAATCTGTAGCTCAAATTTCAGGTCACTGTTTTGGGCTTCTTGGACTCTGAATCTGGTGCAGGGTCAGCTAGATATTTGAGAGAAGTTTCTATAAAATATTTGGAGTACCCCCCTCTGGCTCTTTTCCAGGGCTTATACCTCACTTTCCTGTTGCTGTGGTGCATCAAGCTAGGAAGACTGGATTTTTCCCTTGGTATTTTAGCTGCCCTCATGGCACAAACTAGAATTTGCCTCCAGGCTAAAAGCTGTGTACAAATGAGAAAATCACCCACTGCCTTTCCTTTTTTCCGAGTTTCCATTCCCCTAATTTCTGCCTGCTTTTGTCCACTTTCCAGTGCCTTTAGTTCATAGTTTTCTGTTTTATCCAGAGTTTTTAATTGTGGGAGGGTTGGAATTTGAATCCAAGAGTGTCTGACCCTAAGCTTTTAGTTATAACATACTGCCCCCTAGTGGCTGGAGGAGAGCTGGTTTATGAAGAAGTAGGGCAAATTTGTGAATTAAAAAAAAATCAAAATAATATTCACATATAGTACAAATTACTTGTACAGAACAACTTGTGGTGGGAAGCTGCCCAGCACCTTATCACCTTTTGGGCTTCTCCCCAGAAATTGTTCATTTTTAAATCTTTTGCTCATATTTGGTTATTTTTAAATTTTGGCATTATACTCACAGGATACAAAATTCTAAATATACAAGATGCCATACACTAAAAAGGAAGTCTTCCTTCCACCAAATTGACCTCCTCACAGGCAGTCAGTGTTTCTTTCCAAAAAAAATTACATGATTTAAACAAATACCTACCAATTGTCTGTCTTCTTTTTAATGGAAATGATAGATGACTAACAATATTTTTACCTTTCTTGTTTATCTTTACTTTTTTGAGTCAGAATCCTCCGATTTAAAAAATTTTTTTTTTAAGCTGAGCCATCTTGCCACCTGTTGGCAGCTCAGCTGGGGCGGTGAATTGAACTGGCAACCCTGTTGCTCAGAGCTCGCACTTTTTTTTTTTTAAGATTTTTTTATTGGAGACTTGGGGGATGGGAACAGCGCTAGGGAATTGGGGGAAGGGGAACAGACAAGTTGCTGTGGTTTGTTGTTCAGTCTAGTTGTGGAGTACATTGCTTCACTGGCCCAAGTTGGCACCATTATTGCGCTCTTCCCAGGCGAGGGAGATCAGTTGCCGGCTTCTGGACAGCCGCTCACTGCAGCTGCTTGGCTGCTCAAGCTGGCTGCTGGCTACACATGGTAGCCCATGGCAACTCACTGCACCAATGGCTGCAGCCTACACCGTCGCCGGCGACTCATGGCATCCCAGCTCCAGGTTGAACTGTTGTTCAGCATCTTAGCTGTACAGGGCAGTGTCACTGGCCCTCATATGTGGGATCCGAACCGGAGCCCTCGGGCGTCCCAAGCCAGCTCTTAACCAATGTGGCACTCGGCCGGCCCAGAGCTCGCACTCTTGAGCAAGCTCTTAACCAACGGAGCCACTCGGCCCACCTGATTTAAAATTTTAATTAAATTTTTTTCATTAAGGCAATTAACACATTGCAGACTGGTGATGCAAATTTGCGTCGATATATTTAAATGCCCCGTCCTCAATGTGCTAAGACTATATTTTGAAGACTTTCAATTCAGTCCACAAAGAATGTCTTCATTTCCTTTGTCTTTTTTTAAAAAAAGATTTTTATTGGGGAATTGGGGGGATGGGAACAGTGCTGCGGAATTGGGGGAAGGGGAACAGAGAAGTTGCTGTCGTTTTGTTCTTCAGTCTAGTTGTGGAGGACGTTGCTTCACTGGCCCAAGTTGGCACCATCATTGCGCTCTTCCTGGGCGAGGCAGATAGGTCGCCGGCTTCTGGACAGTGGCTCACTGCGGCTGCTTGGCTGCTCACACTGGCTGCTGGCTACACACGGTAGCCCATGGCAACCCACTGCCACAGGGGCCGCAGACTACGCCATCACCAGCGACTCACGGCAGCCCAGCTCCAGGTTGAGCTTTTGCTCAGAATCTTAGCTGTGGAGGGCAGTGTCACTGGCCCTCATATGTGGGATCCGAACCGGGGCCCTCCGGCGTCCCAAGCCAGTTCTTAACCATCGTGCCACTCGGCCTGCCCTCCTTTGTCTTTTTTTTTTAACAGCTGAGTAATACTCCCCTAGATAGATTTAACAGCTCTCTACTGACTGACATTTAGGTTGTTTCTAGTCCTTTCTCTTATAACTGATGCTGCACTACCACATGTCATGTAATCACCATTACAAGCAAGATACAGAAGTTTCATCACCCCTCTCCAAGTTCTCATGCTACCCCTGCTTTGTAGTCAGTCCCTCCCCCTCTCCTGGCAACCAAGAATTTTCTCCCTGTTCATAGTTTTGTTTTGCAGAATAAATCTCCCCATTTAAAAATATTAAGTAATTGCAATAGTCTTAAAGTGCTGCCTGTGGACTTGAGACTGGAGCTGTTGGCAGGCATGCCCCACCCAGGATAAGCCCCAACATGCCCACTTCTAGCTCTAAACTTTAGGCCCGTGCCTAGGGAACGACTGCTGAGAAAAGACAAGATTTGTTTCCCTTTCCTTTTACGCGTTTTCTTGCGTAGGGCTCTTGCTGCCTCTTCTTTTTACCTTTGAAACCTTAAAGGAAACCTATTTCTTGGAGTGAAGAACTTGACAAAGGCCCTTTCTGCAAAGGGCCTGGCGTGTGAAAGAACAATGGGATTTCGGTTCCTTGTGGAAATCAAGGTGCAAGATGGACCATCCTAGACTTTTGTGGGGAGTGGGTGGTCTGTATCACACATGAACAAGATTGGAGTCCTTGAGGGGCTGAGAGAAAAAACTAGGACTCGGGTGGTTGAGGGAGCTTGGGGAAGAGGGTGAGAATTGGGGGTGTTTAGTGAAGGAGGGATGATTTGAAACTCTGGTTATGGAGAGGTTTGTGGGGTAACAGTATGAGAATATCTGGGGAGAAAGGGTATAAACAATGGTGGAAAGGGCAGGACTAAGCCTGGGGTGTGTGTGTGGGGTCTCTGGAGGTAGCTGACCTCTGGGTGGACTTGGCTTGGGCTATGTCCTTGAGCCATGGGAGTTTGGGTAAGTTGTGTCTTCTGAGCCTCAGTGGGCTGTTCTGGGAAATGGATGTAAGCATCCCTGTTCCAGGACTGTGGCAAGGACTCAAGGGGACCACAGATTGACAGGTCCAAAGGGCAAGGGCTCCTTGAATGTCGGCAGCAAGTGGGCCAGTTTCCAGGGACTGGGGGCCCAAGAGCGGGGTGTGTGGGCTCTTAGGGACCAAGGGAAGTTTGTAGAAGTGTCTGGGGGAACAAATGCTGGATTTGGGGGGCTCCCTAGGGTGCGAAGAAGACACCACCAGCCCTCCTACTGAAACATTTCCCTGCAACCAGATTCACCAACCGGTCTGCACCAGACAGGGGCTTCACCAAAAAGCCGTCAAGAACACTTCCTGGTCCTTAGATGAGACCTTTCACTGAAATGAAAAGAGATTGTATGTGCACTGAGATCTCACTTTGGTTGAAAAATATCATGTGTGAGCACCCAGAGAAAGACCTGGAAGGACGGGACCTAGGTATCCTCCAGGAGGCAGGAATGTTGTCTTTATTTTTTTAATCTTTGCTTGACTGTATGCTCTAATTTTCCACACCGCACAGGGATGCTTTTGATTCAGTGGTTATTAAACCAAATACAAAAAGCTTTAAGGGAGGTCCACCAGGCTCTGACCTCCTCTCCCTCCCTCCCCCCTTGCTTTGCTCCTCAAAGGGGCCAAGTACTTTACTGCTTTGCTGCCTCCTGGCCTTTGCACTTGCGGTTTCCTGTTCCTCTTCACCCTCCAGCAGGCAAGTATTGGGGGAGGGGGTTTGGCCACCTTCTCTAGACTGGCTGCTTGTTGCTCTCTCTCACAGCACATTATTTCCTTTAGGTGTGTTCTCATACTTGACTCTGGGAGAGATGTTCATGGACATCTCACCAGCTTCAAACTTGGCATAACTCAAAAGGTTGAGAAGGGGGACTACTTAGCATTTTAAAGTGGTGCCTTCATATGATGGCAGCTGAGGCTTTGACCTCTGGCCACTTAACCAATTTTAACGCTGTGCATTTGCATTCAATTCAGATTTTACTCTTAACGTGAGACCACATTAAATACTCTTATCCCACGCTTTCAAACTCGAGTCATTTCAGCACACCATCAGAACGCTGTCTGCGTGGGGGGGCCTCCTCTCCAGCCATGTCCCCAGGGCTTCAGCAGTGAATGAAGGTGCCGCATAGCCAGTCGCTTACAAGCCCTTTTATTTGGTCTCCTGTTCGCTCAGGCCTGCATCACTGGCCGTGACTTTTCTGCTTGCAGTTTCACTCCAGAGCCCGCGAAGCCCGTGCCGCCCTGGGGGAAGGCAGAGGTGAAAGCAGTCCGCAGGCTGCTGGTGGCAGTGAGGGTGTTCTAAGCAAGACCAAGCAGGACCCAGGAGAGGAAGGGAAGGGGCCTGGAGGGGGCGGGTCTTCTGGAAGGAGGGCGGAGTCCCGGGGTAGGAGGTGAGTGTATGGGAAGGTGAGGGGAGGGAACTGAAGGGGGTGTGTCTTATGGGAAGAGGGCGGAGCCTCAGGGGAGGGTGTCCAGAAAGGTGAGGGGGAGGGGTCTTGGAGAAGGGACAGGGAAGAAGGCACCCTGAAGGGGCCCTGCTCACCCGCTGCAGCACGATGATATCTCGGACGGTGAGTTTCTCCCCATTCACAGGGTCCACCATGTCCTTCCGAATCAACTTCTCCACACACTCAAGGGTGACTACGGCCCCACTGCGGCGAGGGTAAGGATTGGGACACGGATCAGAGGCATCGCCTTGAGAGGGGGGGCCACATCCCCAAGCCTGGCCCCTCCCCACAGGTCCCCATGTTGTCCCCCCCAGGTGACTTACGAGGGCCGCAGAACGGCGCATGGCGTGGCATTGCTCAGGCTGTCACGGGTCACAGCGCACACGTAGCGCTCACTTCGTGTGATGAGCCCCACACGGTCCACGGAGCCGTCGAGCAACGTGAAATGTACAGGCGTCAGGTCTGACATGCGCAGAGGCTTTCCGGACATGGGGCACGTCACAGTGCGCGACTGCGAGAAACAGAGGAAGGCAGGGTCAGCAGATAGGTCTGGGCCAGCAGATAAGTCTGGGCCAGGTGCAGGGAGGATGGGGTCCCGTGAGGTTGGGGAGAATGGGGGACCCTGACCCTCTCTGGCAAAGTGGGCACAGGAGCACTTGTTGGGGATGCTCACTGGCTTCTCCAGCTTGGTGGCTTTGGCCTCTGGGGTCAGCGATGGGATCCAGAAGCTGGGCAATGCTTTGTCCTTGTCTTTGCCTGTGGCTCCTGTGCTGGGACCAGGTTGGGTGTCATCTAAAGGGGGACAGAGGTTCAGATGCTGCACCTAGGGAAGTACCAGGCCCTGGGGGACCCCCACCTATATGCAAGCCCGTTCCCCCTTACCTGAGCCAATCCCTGAGGCGGTCTTGGGTGTGAAGGGGTTGAGGGGTCGGCTCACGATGGCTGCCTCCTTCTCCAGGAATCCCCGCACCTGGTCTTTCATGGCAGCTTGCTGCAGCTCTTTCTGTTCTTCCCGGCGGGCACCCCGCTGCTTCTCATAGGCCTGCAGGCAGCCGGGGAGAAGTGAGCTAGGCAAAGGCCCAGTGGGGCTCTGCTTGTGAACTCAGCATCAAAACCACCAACAACCTGTGTTCCCTCCCTCATCCCCCGTCACCTTCATTTGTCGAGCGATCTCCTTCTTCTGGTGCAAAATATACTCCAGGATTGCCTCACGCTCATACAGGTAGCCATCTGGACTGCAAAGAAAGGATGGGATGAGAAAACACGGGCCTGGCCCAGGCCACACAGCCAAGGGTTAACGATCACATACTAAACATCAGCTCCCTGCCCTGGGCACCCACTGAGCATATTACAGGCAGCAGCTCACTCAGTGCTCAGCTTAGCACTCTGAGTTGATGGCACTGTTTTAACTTTCCTGGCTTTGTAATATGCTCTGACGTGCAGGGAGAATCTTGTGAGGTGAAAGGTTACTCAGCAAGCCTGGCTTGTCCAAACTCTGCACATTCCAAACAAAGGACTGGCCCTTAGTGGGTTCTGGGAGGGAACCTCTAAACCTTTGGAGTGTCCTGCCTGATAAGAGTGTCTTTCTGTTCACCTGGGGGGCTTGGGCCATATGGTGTCAGCTTGATCTTTGGAAGGGCTGAAGACCAAGGTCAGCCACATGGGCAGTCGGCCATACCTTCATGACCAACTTCCAACAAAAACCCTGGACACCAAGGCTCGGGTGAGCTTCCCCGGTGGGCAGTACTCTGTGTGAGCTGTCACACATCCTTGCCAGGAGGATTAAGTACTGTTCCTGCAACTCCACTGGGAGAGACAACTGGAAGCTCGCATGTGGTCTCTCCTGGACTCTGTCCCATGTGTCCTTTTCCCACTGTTGATTTTAATTTGTATCATTTCACTGTAATAAGCTGTCACTGTGAGTTAACAGCTTTGCTGATTTCTGTGAGTTCTAGAGAATCACAGTACCTAAAGGTTACCTCAGGGACTCTGAACCACAGTCTACTCTCATCACTCTCGCTATAAAACAGACCTGTAATTGAGCACACATGTAGTCACTGGACTAAGTACCTTATACCCAATAACTCACTGAAGCCTTTGCTGGGCCAGAAGAGGCAGGTAACAGGAAGTGGTCCACACATGAGCTGTTCTTATGGGCCAGGCAATGTCCAAGAGCCCTCCCCTGTTACAACTGTATTCTTTTCCATGAAACATACCAGGATCACCCACATGTCTCAGATGAGAACAACGAGGCTCTGAGAGGTTAATGGCTTGTTCATAGCACCCTGACTGTGCAGGTGGCCAGACCCACCCTTGTAGCCCCCTCCCTGTAGTTCCCTTGCTCTTGCCACCTATGTTCCTAGCTCACGTGACAACAGGGTCATGGCAGGGCTGCAGAGAGAGGCAGCAGCAGTCGAAGTCCTTGACAGCATCCCGGCTCAGTCGAATGTTCTGGGTCCCGTAGCCTGAGGCCGCTGAGAACAGAGAAAGACAGAGGGATGGAGGGACAGGAGGAGACATGCCCCTCTCCAAACCCCAAGAGAGAGGCACAGAGAGAACTTGGAGGTGAGGGGATTCAGAGAGAAACAGGCAGCCAAGAGCTTGGGCTGTATGTCATCCACAGGAAGGTTGTGAATCCCCAGAGGATAAATGATAGGCTCCCCTAGGCTCTGTGACCAAGCTCAGGCGCCTGAACTTCTCTGGGCCTCAGTTTCCGCCTCTGGAATATGGCCATGATGACAGTGACCCCTTCCATGGAGAATTAGATGAGTTCACATACAGAGGCACAAACGCGGTGCCCTCCACATGGTGGTGGGTGGGGGGTTGCTGGTCACATGCACTGTCACTTATGTGTTCATGACCATCAGTCGGGGGAGAGACGTACGCACAGAATGCACAACCGGAGGTGCAGAGTGAGATGGTGACTTTGAGACACATTTCTGCTCCCCCCAACCCAGTACCTGTGTCCTTCTTCTTCTCATGGTAGGTGTAGACAGCCCCTGCTGTGCAGTTCTTGCCGTGCCGCGTCATCCTGGGGGTAGGAAGTTGTAGGGCTGTGGGAGCCAGAAGGAGCCCACACAGGGAGAACTGGACCGGACCTTTAAGGCCCTCAGAGCTGATCTGCACCCCTAGATGAGGTGGGGTAAGGGAAGACAGTTTTACACATGTTAAATGCTTAAGAAATTCCTATGCATTCCAAAAAAGAAACATCATTTTACCTTGAAAAAGGCCTGAAGTTTGCTTGTAGAAGTGGGTGTCAGCAGGAGTGTACCTTGTGAGTTACTATTAGGTGGTGGAAAGAGTTATCTGAAATCTGATGGAAAGTTCAAGCACCAAAAATGGATGAGTGTGGCTCCTCACAAATGCGGGAAACTGAGGTGCCTGGTTGGTGTTCAGGGTGCATATGTGTATGTGTTTTGTATGCCTACATGGTCATTTCAACTGAGTGCAAATTTCTGGGTTCACTTAGTCCTTGTCATGGATGAATTCACAAGCAGGCAAAGGTCAAATTTGCTGTGCCCTCAGATTGATCCCTAATGTATCAATCGCACTGGAATAAGTTCTGAGTTTTGAAAAGTAGCGTCAGAGCATAACTGACTGTATGTGGAACTCTGGCAAATCAATGTGAAAAAAGCAGCTACCCCAATAGGAAAACAAGCAAAGGATATGAAAAGATGCTTAAACTCTCTTCAGATGAAAACTACAGTGAGGTCTCATTTTACACCCATCATCAGGCTGGTGGGCGAAACTTCGACAGCTGAATAAGACTAAGGCTTGGTGAGGACATGGGGTTGGTCATGGGAACCCTCAGGCGATGCTGGAGGGAAGAGTAGACAGGGTCAGCTGTCCTGGAACACAGGCTGGTGGTACTTCAGCAAAATGGGTGTAGACACTTCTGCACTTGGTGTACATGCCCCAAAGACATTTTCAGAGACACTCGCAGAAAGCATGTACGAGGATGTTCAAAGCGGTGTTGTTTACACTGGAGGGGTGTGGAAGGCAACTAAATGTCCCTCCCTGGGAGAATGGATAGTGACTGCCTGTCATGGAGACTACCCAGCCATGAGATGCAACTGAGTAGGTGTGCCCAAAGAGCATCATGGATGGATCTTAAAGGCACAATGCTGGGTGGAAAAAGTAAGAAATAAAAACAAGATCACTAACAATGAACATGTGCACAAAACGATAGTTTAAAAAACACGTACAAACAAAAGGATCCACACATACTAGAATGTTTGCCCATGTAGGGGAGGGAAGTCACTAGGGTATAAACAAGAAAAATAAATAAACAAGAAGGAGGGGGACATACAGATCAAAGTGCAGACGATTAAGCAATATGACCTTCTGCTTGGGCTTGAGTCCAAGGTTGGCCCCCGACTTGCTGTGTGGCTCTGGACTGGTGATCTCCTTTTTTAAGCCCCAGTTTCTTTTGGTAAAAAGTGAGGATAACCAGGGGATCTAGCTGACAGGACTGGATTGCTGTGAGAGCTCAGTGAGGTCATGCTCAGAGCATGACACACAAGGGGTGTTCAGGAAATATTCTCTCCAGTTCTTTGGGTGCAAGGAAGATCCAGAAGGCAGGGGTGTGGGGTGGGTGTAGGGGGATGGGGGGACACAACCAAGGGCTCCCAAAATGTAAAAAGTAACTTCATCTTTATTTTCCCTTTCTGGTTATTTTCAGAAACTTGCCTTTCACTTTCAGAACTTGAAACACAAACCTCTACTTGAGCTATGGATATCGTTCGCCCCCTACTGGTGTCTTCCTCCCAGAAGCCAATTTTTGTTTTTAGATATATTTACATAGAATAGATGCACAGACCTTAAGAATGCAGTTTGGTGTGTTTTTGACAGATGTATGCACCCTTGTAGCCACTGCCCTAATAGAGATACAGAGAACTTTTTTTTATCACCCCAGAAGTGGCCAGTGTGCTGCTCGCAGAAGCAAACCTTGGTGAAACACCCGAACTAGACCCACGGTCCCCTCCTCCAACTTCCCCTCACCCCCAAGCTTTTGAGCAAGTGTCCAGCACCTGCTGCCTCCCTGGCTCACCTGCCACTGGCTCCTCCGCCCCAGCCCCCTGGCTTCCGCCCAGACCCCCCAACTGCCACTCATGAAGGTCGAGTTGACCTCTTCATGGACAAATTCCCCACTCTATTCTTAGTTGTCAACTGCCTTGACCCTCTGTGGCATTTGGCACTGAGCTGCTTGTCTGGTGGCCAAGAACAGGGTATTGCTACGACTTTGGCTTCATGGACCTCGACATTTTCCCTCTAAGAGAGAGAGAGGAACAGCTAGAGAGGGAGCATTATTTTTTTTTACCTTGCCAGGAAATAATGGGAATAATCACAAGGAACACTGCTTGATCCCTGACCACATGCCAACTCTCCGTGCCCCCATCTCTCATCAATCGTCCAACCTCAACTGCCCTCTGAAATCCGTCCCATCACCATCTCCACTTTGCAGATGAGCAAACTGAGGCCTAGAAGCGAAGCCATTTGCCGAAGGCCATGGTTCTCAAAGGAAGGTCCAGGGAACCTGTGGGTCCCTAAGATACTTTCAGGGGATCCACATATCTATTTCCATAACAGTAAAATGAATTTTCCTTTGTTCTTCTTATTCTGTCATGAGTGTATAGTGGAGTTTTCCAGAGGCTGTGTGATGTGTGAGGATGTCATCACTCTGAAGACTAACTAAATGTGTGCTTGTGCATCCTTGGGTTTTAAAAGTGTCTGTTGTGTTATGATAAATGAAAGAAATCAGGCACAAAAGCCGTATTTGTTGATTCCATTTAAATGAAATGTTCAGAATAGGCAAATTCTGAGACAGAAAGCGGATTGGTGGTTGGCACAGGCTGGGAGAAAGGGGGACGGGGAGTGATGGCTAAGGGGTGTGTGGTTTCTTTTGGGGGTGATGAAAATGTTTTGGAATCAGAAAGTGTGATGGTTACACAAAATAGTGAACATACTAAAAACCACTGAGTTGTACACTGTAAATGCGTGAATTTTGTGTTATATGAATATCTCAATAAAAATATTTTCTGATAGGGCAAATATTGATAGGCAGAATTCACACCAACAAAAGCTCTTTGGAGTCCTCAATGATTTTAAGATCCTGAGACCAGAAAGTTTGAGAACCACTGGCCAAGGGTCGAAGGGTTGGCAGGTGGCAGTGCCAGGATTTCGAAACTCCAGAAGCTGAGCTTTCAGCCACCGCGCTACACTGTCTCCTCAGTAAGACCAATTTCAAAATAGAAAACAGAACTAGTGCCATCTGCTGTTACTAGTACTTCGGAGAAGACACATCAAAGTAACATCAGTTATTCTTTATCATCATTTTCATTTTACAGGACAGAAAAAAAAGCTCATAGAATTGATGTCCCTGTTGGGAAGTGGCAGGGCCACGATTCGAACCCAAGCAGCCAGGCTCTGGAGCAGCCGTCCTAACCATGTGAAAACTATCAGTCCTCCTAGGAAGGTCACAACCTGAGAATTCCAATTTTTGTACAGTCTTCAAAACCCAGAGTATATTTTACTCTTTAAACACATCTCAATTCAGACAGTAAATTTCTATTGGAGATATTTGTCCTGTATTGAAGTTTCACAAAATGTACAGTTACGAATGTACCCCAGTTGTTCCAAACATCCTTAAAAGTTTTCTGAATCAAATATTGGTGCTTACATTTAAATTAATTAAAATGAAAGAATTAAAAGTATCAGTCCCTCAGTGGCACTAGCCACGTATCAAAGTGCTTCATAGCCTCTTGGGATCAGTGGCTACTGTATTGGAGAGCGTGAACAGCATGGTGCTAAGACAGAAAACATGACCACAATACCATTAACACATTAATAATTCCTTAACATCATCTACTATCCGGCTGGTGTTCAAATTTCTCTGAGTGTCTTCCAACTGTCCTTTTTTTGCACTTGGTTTGTTTGAATCCTGAAACAGTGGTTCTTAACTTCTTGGCGAGGTCAGCAATTCCTTTGAGACCCTAAAGGTGCTACAAGCCTCTCTCCCTAGAAAGCCATCCCAGGGGGCAGAGGCCTCTGTGTTAAAGGAACCTAAAGGGCTAATTACATTCAAGGAAATCAGAGAGAGAGGACGCGTTGAAAGTGGGAAGAATTCCCTAAGAACAAATGCAAGCGTCTGAGGG